ATGTTCAGCAGTTATAGATGTACTCCAATAATTACTTTCTTACTTAATGTTATTTTTCTGTTGGGAAACCTTCATCTCAGAGCAAAAATAACTTCTCAGAAAAGTTTGTAAAATAACGTTTCTTAATTTTAAAACAGTTTATTTTGAACATTTATGAAAGCTGCATTCTTAAACTTTTTTCTAAAATGTTACAACCGTTTTTCTAAACCTTTGCGTTTTATTTTCAAGCTTTTCTTTGGAACAACTGCTCCTATGTGCATTACTGAACTCAAAACTTCCCATTTTTTCACAACTCTTAAGAAAATAGCCTCTGACTGAGCGTCCCTCTACAGGCAGCAAAACCCCAAACCATAATACCTCCACCACCATGCCACACAGCTGGTATAACTTTCCGGGTCTAAGAATTTTTTTAAAATTTTAATCTGATAATTTTTTTGTTTTTAAATCAAAGTCTGATTTTAAAAGGTCATTTCTGAGTTTGATCCTTGTTCTTGTAATAAATTCAAACCCTGCAGAACCTGTTTTAGAACTCTGGGCTTGACTTTGCTCTTGGGCTGGATTTTCTGGGGCAGCTGGTTCTGGGTAATTTGGCCATCGTTTGAAATCTGTGCCACTTGTGTATCTGTTTCCTCAGTGTGAAACTTCTTTTCAAATATTTTCAAAGCCTTTGTAAGACTCTGGGGACCATCAAAAATAGAAGATTTCATGTCCAGATGTCAAATTTTAAACCAAAACAGACCAGGAGTTCAGACCAGGATCCTTGTAATGCCGAATTCGGTGAAATTAAGAGATCTAAAACATTTTACTGAACTGAAGCATTGCAACTGACAGTAATGATTGGGGAAAGAAGAAATAAAACAGGGACCACAGCACAGAACTGAAACTTACAGCCAATGTCCACCTTTGACATCAGTAACGTCCAAGAATACATACTGTAAATATGGTCAGGACAGACACTTGTTTTGTTTCTGATGTTAAAGTGTCAGATTTGATCGTAAATATATGGATGCAACACTCGTTCAGAATATTTCTGGAAACAAAGTCTTGGAGAATCTAGTCAGCAGTCCAACCAGCTGTTCCTGCCTGAACACCAAAGTGTGGGACAGATACAGACAGACGGCTCTGGATCATCATGCTGTGGCCACGGAGCAACGAGGACAACAAGAGATTTGTTTATTTAATTAACACGTGTTGTAAAAGATGAACGCCAGAAAAACGGCTCACAACCAAAAAGGGGTAACTCCTCTTAAGATCAGATATAACTGCTACCTGCTAGAATAAAACTAGTATTCTTTAAAGGAATGCAAATCTCACACCACCTGATGAAGATGACTTTTAGCGACCGCCACACCAAATTTTAGCTTGATATCTGCGAAACAGACTACGTTTTAGCCCTTTTGGTGTTTGTTTTGGTTGATTAGCTTTGGCGACCATCTTTAATCAAGTTGACTCTAAAAGTCTTTCAGTCTTAGATGTGTATTCATTCAACCTTTATTTATACAGGTTAGTCTCATTGAGCCTATCCATTGAATTAGATTTAGAAATCTGAGTAACATCAGAGGAATAAAAACTAACTCCACAGACCGGCATCCTGCAGGGAAGAGTTCAGTGAAAAATTAAAAGTGTGTGTTGAGGCAAAGCAAAGCCTAACGATGGCTGCAGGAAAGGTAAATCACGGTGACAAACTTATTTTGATTTTGATGCACTGCAGTGTAAAATAAATCACAACAGTGAAGTATAACACAGTACCATTTTGAACTGAACCTAAAACTGTAAAAAAGGCATTTTTTTCCCACTAAAAAAAGACATGGTGTCATCATTTTAAATCAAGACCAGAAGCAAGTTTATGTTACTACAGCAGCTGAGAAGGGACAAACTAAACAGTGGCAGTAGACTTTTATCATTTTTCTATCGTTTTAGAAAAGGCGAGTTTGGTGGTGGCGAGGATGAGATCCAGTTTGGTCCAACTGATGCCGTTTAATATCCCTACATCCCACACACTTTCAATCTGTGTTCATATTCACAAAAATTGGATTAAATTTACACTGAATTTGAATATGTCATTCTTTAGGTGAGAACTGAATCATCAAATTACTGAGCAGTAATTACTGTGACTCATCAATTTTAGGGATGCATACAAATGGTCATGTTGCTCTTGAAAAAAAATTAAAGAGAGCATTACGGTAAGTACCCTGACAGCTTTTGTGGCATTTCACACTGATTTTGAAGAGCCATGTGGGCCCTACTGGATTGATGTTTCAGTGAAAATGTAAGGTGATGAAAATTAAAATATAAACAGAAGGAAAACTTGATGAATAATCTGCAAATTGATCTTGTAAGGTTTTAAAAATGATCATATGCTGCTACATAAAGAGCCCTACCTCAATGCAGTCTCTGCTAACAGGGCAAACAAATCAGTGCCGCCCTTTTGGTAGGAGCAAAGAAAATTCAAAACTTCAAAGATTGCTGCATTACATTAATCTTTTGTTTTCTTTGGAAAATGTATTATTACACCAGTAGTTATAATGTTCAGACCAAATTGCTATTATTACTGTAAAGCAGGAACTTCTAATTAATAAAAACAGCTAACTGGAAATATTTTATCAGTATTAGACATATAAAGTACTTTATGACTTAAAGTACAGTGTATTGAAGTGGTTTGAAATGTTGCTCCACTTGGTAGTTTTATCACAGTAGCTGTAAAGCACCAGATCGGCATTTTGCTGCTTCTAATGCTTGGTGGAAGGCCCATTACTAAAACCTCTTGTTCCCCGTTTTCTTAATTTCTAATATGTTTAACATCTGTTTATTTAAATAAAACAAGACTATTTCACTGCCGTTCTGTATGTACAAGGATTTAACAGTTTGTGGCTTTGATATGTAAACAGTATTGGATATTTAATGTGGCACCTAGTAAGACAGCGGTCATAAATCTTGCCCAGTCAGTGGCCATTTTAGGGTATTTCTATTTTAGTGGTTAAAAATATTAACGTTTTAGCACAGTGCTAATGTTCAGTTCAGATGCATACATTTTATTTTGCATCTTTAGTTTTTCTGTGCTGTTGTTTTGGTTAGGATTTTTTTGTTAGCATCTTGCAAAGGGCACGTCTGAAAAAACCAACCAAAAAAAACAACAACCCACATTTGTATGAGTTTTGTTTTCTGAGTATTATTATTATTGTTTTAATAATTGACCCAGAGCTTTAAAAAAAATCCAGTCTTACTGTATTTTCAGAGTAAGACTTATTACACACTCATTGGTCTTTTCTGCTCTAATAAGCTTCTTCTTGTAATTTTGCTGTGTAGTAACTTACTCCTTTTTCCTGACCACATCCCAACAGAGCTATGATAACAATGATTTGGCATGTTAGGTGTGATTGTTGGATTATTACAAATGCACGAACACTTCACTCAAAGCAACTTTAATCACCATTATCAGTTTTGAGACTTTAGCAATACGGTTCTTGTTCAGGTTTTTATCATGAGCCATAATCAATAGCATCTCATTGGAAAAGTGCTTAACTGAAGTTTAGCTGGTCGCAGCTTTTATTAGAGCAATGGCAGATTTGCAACACAAAGAAACACCAGTAAAGGGGGTTAACCAAACCAATTAAACTGTGGAAATGGGCACATAGTACAATGAACAAAATAGCAAAATGATTTTCATTTCTTGGCCAGCCAGCAGCTGAAGTCTAGCAGCAGAGCAGTATAGAAAATAACAACCATAAATCATTGTGGCCTTATAGCCGTTCTGCTGTCCAACACTCCTGCCAAGAACGGCTCCACTTTCCTTCAAACCAGCTATTCATGCAGACAAAAGAGTTATAGTTGCTGACGGCGACCACAATGGTCAGAAACATCACTATTGCAGCAGAAAGAGGAAAGGCGGGGAGGAATATGTTTATTTGTTGCCGCTTCACTCATGTAGAACTACTGAATGTTAATTATTGCTGATCAATGTAAAGCCTTCATCATAAATAATTTCAAATTCTAAATAAGAAACAGAGGTTTATGATTCAGTAACTAAGTAAATAAAATCTCAGGACCAAAAGTCAAACAACATACATGCATACATACACACGCATATACATGCATACATACACACGCATATTATATATATATATATATATATATATATATATATATTTACACATGCATACATACATATACATAATAATAATTATTATTATTTATAATTTTTTTTATTTTTATAGGTGAACAAAAACTTTCTTAAAATCCCCTTTTCACATCTCATGAAGTGAAAAGAGAAAATATTCTTGGACAGACTTTAAGATAAAACTATAACAATAAACGCAAACAGTTTGACACATAAAATACTATTTTTGCTCCAACAATATTATTCTCAAGGAGCTATTAGCTGGAGATGTCTCATACTAAATGACAATACTTTTCTCAGGTCCTGTTTCAGGTCTTTATCAGGCTGTTTTTCCTGGTTTTTTAAAACCATAATTTTTAGATGCTCTTCATGTTCAAAGTGGGGGAAAAAAGCTAAAAAGTTACTTGCTAAAAAGCAGCCAAAGTCTAACATTGTATCTTTTGCGACTGTGTTGTATCGGTAGCTTCGAGAGCAGCTTATGGCAAAAAACGTGTCTAATGTCTTATGAAATATAAAAAATAAATACTCGTCACACCGGTGCAGTTTTTCTCACACGTTGCAGTGGGATGTGTAAAGTCACAATTTGTTTTTAACTGTATGTGTAGGTTGACTAAAAGGTTCCTGCTAAAATCTGCATTTAAACCAATATTTCATCAGATAAATTCACACAAACTGTCAGTTTAAGTTGATCTCTACTGTGGCAGCTGTTTGTGCAGGAAACTGAGCCAAATAAGATCTGATTCATAAGAGCTTGTGAACACACATATAAAGTGCAACTAAAAAGGCCTAAGGTGGCTCTGATAAGAGCAGATGTAACTAAGTGGCAGTAATTACAGACACATCTTATGCAGAGTAACAATTTAAATTAATTGCGATGGCTCACCTTGGCTTTGTTAATGGTGCAGTGCAGTGCGTTGTTCTCCTGGTCATAAAGCAAACTAAACTCCAAGGTTCCCAGTGTGGCTGTAAAGATAAGACACAACAACAAGAAAGGAGAGAAAATGAGTTGTTGAGAAATCAGTTTTTTGGCACACAAGCATGGTCACCGGGGAGAAAATTAATTGATCTGCATAATTTGGATCATTTGAAATGGAAGCCCTCATGAGGCTTCTAATTGTTGTAACAACTAATTACCAACATATACAATGAATGCTACGTTTTGTTCCATCAGTTATATTCTGTGACAGAATAAGAGCAAAGGGAACCTCATGACTAATGGAGGTATTTTCTCAAAAGAGGTTGTCAGTATCAGAATCAGAATCCACTTTATTATCATTGTACCAAAATACAGTGAGGTTCGTACAGTCGTCCGAAAGATGGGCGGCGGAGTGCATGTTGCTGCTGCTCCTGAGAGTGCGGCCCCTTATAAGGGGAAAAGGCCATGAGGATAGGTTAGTGATATTACTCTAAAGATCTCTTCACAGCTTGTCATTATTAGGACACGATTTAAAACATCAAAAAACTCTACCAGCAAGCACATTTATAAACATGTTACAAATTTGACGACAAGACGGTAGATCTGTCCATGAAGCACTTCCAGATAGTCCATAGTCCTGATAAGATGTTGGTGTCAGACGGTGCAGCTCTAATAAGCGTTCACAGAAGTTCTCGGGGGGTGTTTGCGATAGACAGATTTTCCTTAGTTTACACATGTCCCAGGAGAAATTTGATGTTGGCCTGCCCCAAGGCCAACGGGGGAGCCAGATTCAGATAAGCCACAATTGTTGATTTTTTTCAGGCAGACTGTTTTTCTCGTCAGCCTTGTGTCCTGCTGGTACTTTCGATCCAAAATGGCCAGATTTTTGGGCATTCCACTGGTATAAAGTAGGATGAATTTTACACATGTGATTGAGGATTAGGATTGTCAGTTTTTAATTACAGAACTGGACTACAGAGGAACCGTTTGTGGACTGACATTATTTACAGATGAGCTTACCAGTAAACAAGCAGATCCTGGAGACATACGGTATGTGGGGGTCAAATCATATATGTGAAGAAGATATTTGTGGATTATAACTCTGCATTCAGTACTGCTAATCCAAGCAAAATAACCACAAAACTCCACCAGCTCAGCCTTTGAGGACTGGCATACCACAGGTATGTGTGCTTAGTCCCACCCAGTACTCCCTCTTCACACATAACTGCATCCCTGTACTCAACCCTAATGTCATAGAGAAGTCAAATCAGTGTTAAATCCTCTTGCAGCTTGTTAGCATTGAAGTGTTTTTAGCATCAATGCTAATGAACTCATCATTTGCTGCAAAACTGTCTACAAAAAATATTTAAACATACTAGAAAAGATAAGAGAAACTGAAGATTATTTTTTTATAAGTTTCTTGTGCTCTAAAATTTTTTAGATTCAGATAAGTATTCAAGTTTATATCATGTTAGCACCAAGTTAGCATTGAAAAAGTTGTTAGCGTTAATGCTAATTAACTTGTTGCTTGCTTCAAAGCTGTAAAATGGCACGACACTCTCCTGAAGAATGATAAAAATATGAGGAAATGTTAGCAGAGATGAAGAGAACCTACAGATTACTTTGATATCAGGTTTGCTGGTCTCTTGAATGGTTTTTGACAATAAATCTAATCATTTCCTACAAAATGCTTCGTCACTAATACATTTCACAAAATAAGCAAAAAGATTTGGTACATCTGGGTGATTTATTTATTCTGTCTTCAGTATTTCTTCCTCTCATGCATCTCATCAGGCATCTCATTTTTTATAATGTTTGGTTGTTTGCTTATGGCTTGAAGTTTTCCATGTAAAGTTTAAATTTTAATAAATTATATTCTATCTGGGGGTGGCACGGTGGCAAAGTTGGTAGAGCTGCCGCCTCTCAGCGAGAAGGTCGTCGGATCGAATCCTGGCTGGGGGGCTATTCTGGGTGGAGTTTGCATGTTCTCTCTGTGCATGCGTGGGTTTTTTCCAGGTACTCCGGTTTCCTCCCACAGACCAAAAACATGCATGTTAGACTGACTGGTAACTCTAAACTGTCTCTGGGTGTGAGTGAGAGAGTGAATGGTTGTTTGTCTCGTTTGTCTCCATGTGTCCCTGTGATGGACTGGAGACATGTCTCGGGTGTCCCCGCCTCTCACACAGTGACTGCTGGATATGGGCACCAGTGACCCCCATGATCCGAAAAGGATGGATGGATATTCTATCTGTGTGAATTCTGTGAATTTAGCTCCTGTTCTCCATCCATTAGTAATAATTTCAGGTTTTTCACTTCAGAGCTGTCTTTCTGTTGGATTTGAGCGATGACATCTATGATTTTCTCTCTTTTTTGGCAGCTTTCCCCCCACTTGAAGTTCTGCTGAGGTTCTCTCCATTCTGAATAATTTACCAACCAGTCAGAAAATAAAACCCATGGTTACCTGAAGAGGTTGCTATATATAAAAAACACAGCAATACACTGGTGATCAGTAAACTTAATTTTCTGGCAAGATTGTTATCCTTTGTTCCCTTAGACTGTCAGGAAACAAGGATTTCCTCATTTACAGGGTTGATTAAAATTATATTGTGCAATAATTTCAACAGCAAAAAAATAACCAAAATAAAATAAAACACATAAAGAAGATGTGTGGGGCATGAAATACCTCACATTTTTTTAAACTGTTGTGTTACAAACACTGCATTTGTTTTCTTTACACCTTGATATTTATATGAGCAGCAAACATGTTTAGTTTTTTCTAAATTCAAAATGGTATTTGTAGCTATCGACACCTCCTACATGTTTTATCTCATCTAAAAACATGCGCCAAGTAATGTGGGTTGAACCAGCTCTTAGCTTCCCTTATATGATATTATGTCAATGGAGAAGTTTAATACCATTATGGGACATTTGCATAAATAATAAATGTTCAGACATAAAGAGGAAAGCTATTTCAGTTCCTCTTAATGAACTTAAAGTTGTTTTTGTTGAAGACAAAGTTGCACATTTGTTGAATTAAACACAAACATTTACCTCTCCATCATCATTTCTTGGTATAAATAGCTGGTCAGTTTCCAAAGCATTAAATTTCATAAAGTCATGATTAAAATCTAAAATGATCGGAGCAGTTCTGAATCCACTCAATCTCAGGGACAAAAAGCTGAGCTAAAAAAACACAAACACAATGATAAACTTAATGAGATTGATTTTTAGTTTGCTATGAGAATGTTTAATTAACCCTAAAAGTAAAAAAAAAATAAAATAAAAAATAAAACAGTTGTGTTCTGTGCAGCCAAAATGTAAAACTGTGCATTAACCAAACAGACGTATCCAGGAAGTATTTATTTTTCAAGACAATTAATTCAGGTTCTCAGGAGAGTTTATTTTTTGTTGAAACGTAACAATTTTGTTGGATTTTTTTAAATCTGGATTATTGTGTAAGAACTTCAAAATTTTTCACTTTAAGTTTATGTCTGTAAATATAGCTATATTTAGAAAAAACATTGTAAATTGGTTTTAAGAATACATTTTACTTGCTTCTCTATCATCTATCACTGGTGCTCATTCATTATTACCTGACTGAACATTGTTGGATTTTTACCTGGATTATTGAGCATGAACTTTGGTGTTCTCTATCATTTATAAATACCTTCATGAGGTTTATGAGGGGGGGGGGGGGGGTTATAGGAAGGAGGCAAATATCAATATCCTCTACCTGTATTATAAGCTGCATGTTGGAAAATGTTCTTCCATTTCTTCTGGCTTGTCCATCTCCACGGGTCTCCACAGCGAGTCATCCTCCTCCATCTCTCTGTCCTCACTCCACCTCCATGTCCTCTCTAACTGCATCCATATATCTCTTCTTTGTCATTTTCCAGGCAGCTGCATTTCTAACATCCTTCTACCAATATACCCACTGTCCCTCCTCTGGACATGTCCAAACCATCTCAGTCTGGCCTCTCTAACTTCATCTCCCAGTTGTTCAACCTGTGCTGTACTTCTGATGATCTCATTCCTAATCTTATCCATCCTTGTCACTCCTAAGAAGAACCTCAACATCTTAAAATTTCTGCTAATTTCAGTTCTGTCTCCTGTCTTCTTGTCCATGTCTCTGTCTCCAGATCATACAACATAGCTGGTCTCACCACTGCTCTGAAATTTTTCTAAGGATGTCTCTGAATTCAGACTTAAAACCCAAAGATCTTAGCTGAGCAGATTTACTCCTCCAACATATTTTACAAGACAAAAAGAAGCAGTTAATGAGCGTCTTTCCTGACAGGACTTTTCTGTCCAGCCTGCGCTACAACACTTAGTTTACATTTAATTTGTTCGTCTGTTTATTCAGGGCAGCAGCACGATCCCGTTAGATGGTTTATGAAGGTTCGGCTTGAAACTGTTATTTCTTTGAAAGGCAGATGTTGGAGCACGAGGCTGTAGCTGTGGGGTCCAGCTCAGATGCAACAGCGCTGTGAACGCTACAGGAGGATAATAAAGTGGACCGTGGGTTTTTTGAGCTGTGAAATCAGATTCCCGTCTTGCTGCGCAGCCTAATTTCTCCGACACTCAGGGAAAAGGTGGCAGCCGGCTTTAATTCATTTTCAAGTAGCTGCTTAAGATCACTGAAAGCAATAATTAAACAATTAAACTGAAAACTGTGAATAACATTATTATCAGCAATGGAAGAAACAAAGTCATAGATATTCAAGTCTTTTCCTTAAAGGTCATGAGTCATTGTGACATAAAATGACTTTCGATTTCAGTATGCGAGTGCGAGTCCTGCCCTTTTCATGACAGACAAATGTAATCGACAGTTGACTGTGACGGAGTGGAAATGATGAGACGCTGAATAAAAAATAAAAATAAAACAGGAAGACTTGTTGCTGAAAGCAGAAGCTGCAGGTAATGTTTGACAGCGAGTGAAGGATGACAAGTGTTCAAATGTTTACAGCATCATTATTCCTGCTACAACATATTCTGTTCCCGCTGCGGGTAACGACTTGCGTTCTGCGGGAACACTCGGCCCATCTGA